GCCGGCTCTAAAGATTAAGAGTGAAATCTGAGGATGGGAACATTCTAATCTAAGGCCATCTACCCAGACAGGAAGACATGCTCTGAATGAAGGTGGCCCTGCGGTCAGTGAAGAGAAGGTGTTGGAAAGCAGGACAGGAAAGGAGGGCCAGCCAGCCACAAGGGCAACACCTCTAGGAATGAGCCCAGGGAAAGGCAAAGCCAAGCCAGAGGAAGCCACCCCGAGAAGGACTAGCCAGTTCTAAGAAAAGCAGGTCTTCAGAGAAGAAGATAAAATATTCTTTTTTTTAAAAAAAGGCATATTTTTAATAAAATTAGTCACTGCTTAAAAAATCAAATCATCCCATACAAAATGGCCCTCTCTAGTCAATGCCCTTTTCTTCTTCATAACCAAGTTTTAGAATAGGCTGTCCTGACTGGCTTTCCTCCCTTTACCCCCTCACTCTCCCATTCACAGCAATAATCTTTGCCAAAATCACTAATTATATCCCAGGGCTAAATCCAGTGGAAGCCTCTAACTTCTACCTATTCAGACTGCTTTGCACAACCTCTCCCTCTTGGGTCTGCACTAGCACTGGATCATGCTCAAAGCTCTCCATGTAAAAACAAGGAGCAAAAAGGTGCCCCTGGTGCCCTCCTCTTTGTAACCACCAGATTTCTTGAGTAACACCATCTTACACCCGGGAGCTCCCCTGGTAACCGGCCTTCTGGCCTCAGTCCACCTCAGTGTTGTCACTGCTGTTCCTGTTACCAACGACCTCCCAGCTGCCGAGCATTCCCTCTTGCCTCAGGTTCCCTTGATCACAAAACCCTCTTCTACCTTCCCAATACAGCCTGATTTTGGTCCTGGGTGCTCCAGAGTTCTTCAGGTCTCATTCTATCCTACTCTTTTTCCTACTCTATGCATGCTCTTTTAAATAACCTCATCTAGTGCAGCAACTTCATTAACAAGGAAGAGGGTCCTAAACTTTCTCCATTCACAGCACTTTGGGTTCAGACCAAAAGAAATGATTACTGAATAATGGAAACTTTTAACAAGTCAAATAATTATATTCTAACAATTTAGTGCCTATTAAAAAAAAAAGTACACTTCAATTGAGAAAACAACATTTTCATTTTATTAATTATAAAAATTTACTAGTGGTACATGTACACCTGTTGAGCACTGCACGATTTCCCAAATCTTGAACTCACCCTAGAAACCACCACCCTCTTTCCTGTCCCACACATATTTTCATATGGTGCAAAACCTACCAAAAACCCTGCTTTACCAAGTTGCAATCATCAAAAGGAACAGTAAGATCTACTTTGGAAACTATCATGAGACAGTAGTTTCTAGTATTGGACAGGTGTGAATCACAGCAGCTTCCTCAACAGTTTAAATATGTGAACTTGTTGCACATCTCAGGCACAGTAGGACTCCCAAGTTTGTGGCCCCACTTTAGACACCTCTGGAGACCCAGATCTCCCGTACGGCCAAGTGAACGTTACATCTCAGAGGCACCTGAAACTCATGCTGGCTACTTAGGCTGGCTTAGCATGGCCCATCATCTTCTCCCCAATTCGCACTGCTGACTCCACCTGAGCATGGTGCCACCAATTAGAAGAGGGTACAGCCTAAAAGCCCCCTTCGCTAGATTTCCACTACACACACACACACACACACACACACACACACACACACACACACACACGCACAGCCAGAGACCAAGTCCCAGAGACTCGACCTTCTCAGTTCCCCTTCTTCCACCTTCTAATCCACTCCCCACAAGCCAAACTGATCATGTTCATCACCTGCTCTGAAGTCCACTGATGAATTCACACCCTACACAGGAAGGGTGTGGCACCTGGGTCCTTCTTGATTTTCCCCTGCCTGCGCTCCCTTTGCATTGCCATGCTGCACTTCTGTTTCAGTTGCTCCAATGTACCATCTCCCTACCTAGCTCACTGGACCTTCCTTTTTTTTTTTTTTTTATGTATTTGGTACAGGGTCTCCCTACGCAGCCTGGACTTGTAGTGATCCTCCTGTTTTCAGCCTCCGCCACACTGGGTTTAAAGGCATGCACCACCACGCCAGGTCTCAGTGGCTGGCTCAGTGTCCCCAGCAGGGTCAGCACAGCACATGGTGTCAGGGATTGAACCCCAGTCCCGGACTAAGCAATCTCACTGGTCCTGGACTCTTCCTCTTTGACTCAAGACTCTGAAATTCCTTCTTAAGTACTTCTTCATCTCTCAGAACAGTCCCTAAACGCCAGGATGTGGGCCTCCTCTGCACTCCAGTAGTCAGCCCTCCTGTAATCAATGATTAGAAACACAGAGGCCTGAACTCGGTAGCAAGCTCATCCGGGCCAGTAGAGATAACCACCTTATCACTGTGTGCCCAACACGTGACACGACAAGCTCTCATGTCATGAAGAATTAAAATAAGTGAATGAATGAATTGGGTCATTCAGGAGGCTCAAGGGTCCCTCACCCATTACGAGATCTACCTCTGCACTTATCACAACATACTGTAATTTTCTCTGAAGGTAATGAACATCTTGAAAGTGCTCATCTTTTATTTCTGTAACCCCAGAGATTAAACTAGTGCCTGGTACTTCCTAGGCATTCCCTAAATGGTTTTCGAAAATAAAAGGACATGGAAAAATCCAAAAGAATAACCCCCATAATATTAAGTATGGTCCCCCTGAAGAACTAGGATTAGAGTAGCAATTAATAAGGGCAAAGGAAAACTAAGACTCTCCCCTTATCTCTATATTTACATTAAATTTATCTTACAATGTGCATTGTTTACACATGAAGGGCATAAAATAGCCATGTATTCCCAGCATAAGACTAAATTTGGGCTAAAAACCAACCTTGAAAAACAATGCATACACTATAAGCAACATTCTATTTCAAATACCCAAAAGTAAAGCTAAAAAAAGAAAAAGGAAAAAGAAAAAGAAAAGTGACTTTAATGACTACCAAAAGGACTCTGAAGGAAAGGGGATTCCAGATGGGCTGGTGTATGCTGTAATCTCAGCACTCAAGAGACTGACACAGGAAGATTGCATTGAGTTCCAGCCCACCCTCAACTGCATAGTGAGACCCTATCTTAAAAAAAAATTTAAAGGGGGGAGAGGGAGACCCATACATTCCCATACAGCCATGCTAAAAAATAGCATGTGTTCTTAAATTCTTGAACTATCAAGACCAGCAGTGCTGGCCTGCTAACATAGATACTAACATCAATACTTACAATATGCAATTGTTTACACAAAACACCCCAATAACCAAAACCATTAGTGCTACAGGCAGGTTTCTATGGAAACTGTAAAGTATGTCTAAAGATACGCTGACAGAGAAGCGGGGGCTACAATGTCCGCATGGCCACTTAGCTAAATGTGTTCTACTTGATTTTCAGAATTTTTGCAAGGAATGTAGTACATCACCGACAAGTGGAGCACAAATTTTAAGCTAACGGACAAAACAATGCAAGAACAATTTTTACATGTAGATAGTTCTAGAACAAGCTTCTTTCCACTGTTTTAAATCAACGTTAAGTACAGGTCGCGGGTAGTAAATACATAAAAGTAAACCAAACTTTCCAACCTGTGAGCTTTAAACATCTAAAAAGACAATTTTAGTGTACGTCGGGTTCAGATCTTTTAAGATGAAAAACTGGTACTATGCAGAAGCTATTAGAACTCTGGAGAAGGAACAGAGGAGACACACTGAGAACTGCCTTTGGGAAAGGTCAAACCAGCTTTCTCTTTTTTAACCTCGCGGGTAGATAAAAGAACTGGCTATAAAGAATCACTGCATTGTTTCTCTGTTAGAAAAAGAAAGTTTCGTACAACATATACAAACAGAAACTGCCAGTTTTCAATCAAATTGGTCTTAGAAGCAACAACAACGAAAAAGGTCAATTATAACACCATGAACTCAGTTTTTGATATAAACACGTAGATATGTTAAGTTGTGGACACTCAACAATGCAAAATATTTCAATGGGCCAGCCTCTTTCCGTGTAAAATGCAGGTTCTGAGCGTGAAGTGAAAATGTCATGCCACATGGAGCCTGCAATTTTATAGGCTTCGATGCAAAAACGAGTTTAATTTTCAGGATTTTGAAAGCTCAAAAATTAAATGTTGTAAGTAAACCATCAAATATTTTTTTAAAAAATGTGAACAGATTCCTACTCCACCCAAGAGCGGCCAAAAAATGACAAACTCCCATTGATCCTTAAACCCATCACACAGTTTTTAATTAAGAACTCCGTTCTCCACTAGAGAACTATCTCTTCCAGAGAGGCCAAACCAAGAAGAAATCGCCATTGCCTGTAAGTACCGAAAACGGAAAAAGACTTCGCAGGGCCGCAGTCGAGTCCCGGGGGAGGGTCAGTGCAGGGGAGCTCGCGGCCCCGGCCCCGCGCCCCGCAGCGCGCCCTGGCGGGACGCCCCGACCTCCCTGCCGC